TATATGTATATGTATATAGGGCCCAAATTACCGGTAGCAGCACCGGGATCTTGTGACCCCAGCACCTGACTGGAGGTGCGATTTTGTGTTAGGTGTGAGCCATTCCCTCGTCGAGGACTTCGCCCACCTGGCTTCGCAGATTGCGATCAAAGAGGTCTGCTGCCCGCAAGACCATTTCCAAGGGACGGAGGCCTCATTCCCGTTCTCTTGCTTTGCTACGGGATCACCATAGTGTGGATCCAGTCTTCAGAGCTCGCTTGCACCAGATGGGCAAGCAGCAAGGCCGTAAGCAGGATCAATGGCCGGGTTATGGAGGTCCTGCCTCCCCCTCTTGGTCTATGTGGCGTGGAGCTCGTGCGAGAAGAGCACCGTGGGAGGAGACACCCGCACCTCCCCCAGCGCCCAGGAGCTCTTTCCCGACTTACGACAGTGTCAAAGTGGCGCAGGAAGACAAGCGAATCACTGTCATCCGGGAGACTCGCAATGGTCCACCATCTGCGGGGTCTCAGTCTCTCACCTTGGTGCAGACTGTCCAGCAGGCCGTGAATACTGCCAGGAAGTCATCCAACAGAGTCTTGAAGCTCAAAAGGGATATCGAGCTAAAGGACGCCCAGTGGAGTCAGTATACCAAGGACATCAAAGCTTCCTTTGCCAAGGAGAAGGAACGACATGCTTTGGCTATTTCGCACTTGGAACAGGAACTTCAGGCTGCCCAAGAAGCTTCGCAAGCGGACCAGCTCGCCATTCAAAAGGCGGCCGATCGATGCTTTCTGTCAGCCAGTGGTTCCGAGGAGACGGACAACAATGCTGCTTGGAATGCTATGATGGCAGTGGACGATACCTCAGAGGGGGTCCCGTCTATCCCTCGGGAGGTCTGGGAATATATGGCACACTCTGCAAGGACGATGCGGGAATCAGCAATGCAAGGGGGCACGATTCCGAGCGAGATGTTGGTGCCTCCAGGGCTTGCGTCGTTGCCGGCACCTGCCCCTCCTCCTGCACCGCCGGTACAACGTCATGTGGAGGCTGTCTTGGCTGCACCTGCGGCCCCTTTGCCGTATTCTTCAGCAGCTGCGCCCGATGCCCCGGCCTACAATGCACTGTCGCCGAGTATCGCGAAGACTGGAGCGGTTCCCTTTGCTGGATCTTCTCCTTTGCTGCATGGCCCAGTTCCGGAGCAGCATATGGGCCCCGTGGAGACCGATCAAGATGCTGCGAATCCTGGGCCCTCAGATGGAGGGGCTGCCAGACCTGCGGGGCACCCTTCCAGTGGTCGTGCGGGAGTGAAAGACATGACAAAGAAGCCCCCGGAGAGACCGGATGTTCAGGGCCCTTCTCTGGGGGCAAAATTGGATGCCAAACGGGCACGAGAGCCCTTGGTGGTCCCAGAAGGCATGGGCCCAGCAATGAGGCCATTCCGCGGGGCCGGGCCTCCGCCTCCTGGAGGCTTGGGCTTGCCTGCAGAGACGAGGACAACCCCGCCAGGTGTATCGGAGGAGCCGGCTCCGGAATTTCACAATATCTCGGAGGAGGACGGCATTTTCGAGGACACCTCGCCAGGCTTTGCCAATTTGGAGTGATCGTTGCAACGTCTCGGGATCAGGTTCACGGAACAGAGGTCTTTGGTTCTCTTGGGGAGCCGGTGCCTTGGACAGCTCTTCAGCTGTCTCTGGCCCAGTTCTCCCTCGGCGAATCCACTGACTGCTGGACCGTTGAGCCCGAATACCGTGGACATTGCTGGAGTGAGGTAGGGCGTGACTGTACAGATCTTGGTGTTGCTGTACAGTCTTTTTTCTTCCCTGGAGCTTTGCCGTCTTGCCTCGCACCTTCCTCGCAATCCCTTGGCATTACACTTGTCATTTGCTTCATTCCGTCTCCTGCGGCCGGACACCCTGGATTTTGGGCTGTCTCTTGGATTGGCCCTCGATCAGCAATCCCTTCGATGCATTCGTCCACTGCCTGCACATTTTCCCATTCCTCGTGCAATTGCGCCATCTGTTTTGGCTGCATCACAGGATATTTGAGGCATGTTTGTTCCAATTTCTTCGAAGGGTGTGGACAGGTTCAGTTGCGCGCGCCTAAAACGTGTATCGGTGGCTCTGGGACACGTGCCGCATACTGCTTGCTCCTATACTGGTGCCGGAGTGCACTGCTGCTTGCAGAGCATCTCGTCTGTCCCTTTTTCTGGACTTTTCTGCTCCTTATCTTTCTTGCACTATGGCGCCTGCTCTTAGCAGCTGTCCCAGGCAAATCCTCTCCTTTGCATAGGTTTGCCAGATGCTCTGCCGCCCGGGTTCCTCTTTCGGTTCTTAAGCCCCTTTGCCAGGTAGGCCGTCCATGCGAGGCTGACCCTACCTCGAGCCATAAGGTGCATAAGCGTGGCCGCTTTGACTCCCGGCCTAGGTCAGGTGTAGGCTGTGGACATTGGCTGAGCCGAGCTGTCCTTGCTTGGTTTGTTCTTCCTGTCCAGGTTTGGGCTGCACCGAAGCAATGGGGTGAGGCTGTAGATATTTTGATTGCAGCTGCTGTCCTGTTTCCGGAACCTCTTCATGTGGAGCCGCAGGCACCTGATTTGATGTCGGATACGGATTTTGCAATCCGACAAAGTATGATTGAGAGTAGGCAGGCCTCGATTTTGGACACCTCGTTGCATAACGCTGAGGACCTCCCAGTTCCTCCTCTTAATGACCCAGAGGAAGATGTTGAGGTTGCACCAGCCTTTACCACAGGTGTCTTTTATGTCTTGGCTCCTCACTATCAATCTGAGATAGTGCAAATGCATCTCCCCTCGCCCTGCGACCTGCAAACCATCCTCAATGAGGCGAGACGTGGGCTGAATGCCTTGAAGATGCGGTTTTCTTTTCGGGTTTTGCCCACTTTCCCCCAGCTAGGGTCCGACTATGCCTCTCTGTTGGTTGTCCCGGTGTGGCTGGATGTGACCAGCATGCAGGTGATAGTTTGGGATTTCAGAGCGTTGGGAGGTCCCGTCTATGCTGCATACTGTTGGAATGCGGTCACCTATGGCGATTGCATCAGGGAATCGAGGCGTCATGGTTTCCATGACTGGCAGGCGTTTGTCAACAGTCACTCTCAGGCCCTCATACAGGATGCCTCCTTCGTTGCTGTTCCTGGGGGAGTAGTGCAGTTTCAGCCCCCGGGGGCAGGCCCTGTATGGCGGGGCACTTTAGCTGCGAGGCTTGATAGGCCGAACTCCTGGAGCATTGACCCTGATCTGCCTGAGATTCAAGTTGAGCGCCCGCTCCTCATTTTGCATCACGAGCAAGTCACGTTGTATACATCTCGCAGATTCCCGGTGCCCGGAACCAGGACATTCATTACCAGTCTGGTTGAAAGGACCCCAGACACGGCACTCATTGTTGCGCCTCCTGGGAACTTCTTGACCAATGTTGATTATTATGGGGTCACTTGTCGTGATGTCCTGGCTGTCTACCCCCTTACGCCGACGCCGGATCGGGATTGTATCATTGTCTTTTTGGACCCCCGGCAGACGGGGAATCCCCTGGCACATATTCTGTTGCCGGAACGACGGGTTGCTCCAGTGGCCTTAGCAAGGTTCCTGAATTTGCGCCCACCTGTTTGCCACAAGATAGCCTTTTGGCCTCGACCGGAAGAAGACGGCATGTTGGCGCTTTCTGAAGGTGACACAGTTGTCTTTGGCTATATTGATGAGGCAGCTTGTTCGGATGACAGCTCCGGGTCCATTTCGGACTCTTCTGATGACTCTGACTTTGACCCAGGTGTAGGCCGAGGAGAAGGTGATGGCCCTTCCGGCAGCGCCGGGCCTGACAGAGGCCCTCCATCAGCGCATGAAGGTGGAGAGGCGTCGTCCAGATCAAGGTCTCCACCGGGACGGTTCCGTGGGCATGCTTTAGCCCAAGACCCACTCAGCTTTGCACCTCTTGCCGTGGGGACGGGCTTACTGTTGAATACTTGCCCGACAGCAGCCTATGCACCTGTCCCTGACCCTCAAACCCTCCTTGATGGTCACTGCATCTTCAGTCTCCAATCACTTGCGATCTGCTGTGCCCTTGGAGTTGTTTTGTGGCGTGTAGCGGCCACCTTTCCGGACATACAGAGGTATGCTTCACTTGGAAGGGCTCGCTCTCCTGCCAAAGTGAGAACTTGCAAGTTGATCGAGGAGCCCACGGGCCACAACTCTCAGGCTCAGAATCGCATTGATACCCTCCGTTCACTTGCTTCTGCACTTGGGGGGCCCTGGCTGCCGCGCCCCTTCTGGCGTGCTGGGATGCTTCCCCCTGAAGACATGGTCCCTGAGGATTCGGATGAGGATTTGGAGCCGCAGATTTGCTCCATTCACTGTGTTGTCCTTAAACATACGTATTGTCCTGAATCACTGACCGTGGATATCCCTTTGCCGGCTACCCAAGACGAGCTTCGACTTGCTGTGCAACATGCCAGAACCCTTCAGGCCCGTGAAAGGTTTCCGGTTCTGTCTCCTGTCCTTTCCCAACGTGGAGAGGGCACGGCAATCTTCACTGCCAGGCCAGTCTGGGGTCCAGGGTATTGCAGCGTTTGCTTGGATACTTCGGCCATTGATGGACGAATTTTTATGGCGTATACCTTGGAATATGCCTCGAGGGCCGAGCTCATCCGTATTGCGCACCTGCCGACGAATGTGGACCCTGATGTCTGGGTTGGGTTTGATGATACCTGCCTCTCAGATACATGCGCTGCGCATCTCTGCCACGGGATGTTAATACGGCTCGTGCCCAGAAATGCCACTCTTTCCGCACTTTCGTCACTCGGAGTCTTACTCCTCAATCCTGAGGTATGGGGTTTCGATTCGATCTTCCCTTTATCTGTGGTTGCTGGTGCATATTGCCTTGCGTGCAGGGATGGCTGCCACTTATTCCTAGCAGACTTGTGGCAACCTACGCGCTATCGTCAGCATATTGCTGATAGCGCAGGAGTCTGCCTGGCTAAAATGCGCATCTTTGCTGCCAGGCCCCAGCCTATGGACGTCTCACTCGACGGAGTACCTTGCGTGACTGCTTTGGCTGTGGGCGAGCCTCCGATGCATGCGCGATCTCTCATCTGGCACCTCGTTCTGCTCGATTGTCGTCCACTTGAGGATGGTTGGCAGACCTGGTATGCTTACGATGGGTTTGTGGACATAGGGGCTTTGCTTCATGCCTTCGACAGGGATGCTCCCTTGGGCTGGCGCACACGCCTTGCTGATAACCGGCAGTTGCTGGGACAACTGCACACCGTTCCGGGGCAGATACTGGTTCTGTATTATGAGCCATCCATTCAAGATGGGGTTCGGGATTTGCCCTTAGGTAGTGGTTCGGAAGTAAGTGTTTCTGGACACACGCCTTTTCAGGCCCTGGCAGCAGCTGCGCCCGGTGGTGCTCAGTCAGGAGCCTCTGGCCAATCATCTGCCCACGAGCCCAACGATGTAGATGATGGCCCTTCACTGGGTTTCTCTGCTACAGCCTCATCTGCGGTAGAAGAACGTACGGTGTTACACTTTCTTCTGCTCACGCAGGGGTTTATCCCTGAGCCCATAAGTGTGGAAGCCGTTTTCCCGCTTGTGCCGGAGGATGTGTGTGACCTCATCTCTGCCAGTCGGGAAGCACGTGGAGGCCGCAGGTTCCCTAGGTTGCTTCTGGCTCCGTGGCAGCCTGCCTTTGCATTTGCTTGTGTCCTTGCTTTGCCTTACTGGGAGATCTCCGGGGTCCCTTTGCTCATCGCCTGCTACGTGCCCCCAGTCCGCGTGCTGACTGTTTTGGCTCCCGCGAATGTATCCGTGGACGATATACTGAGGCTATCGGGGGTCGAGGCGCGAGACGTCCATGTCTACTTCTCTGATCAGCCTTGGGCCCTGCGTACCCAAACAGTGCTTGCAGTGGCGCCGGGGGACTTGATCACGATTTTCCCAGATGGTCATCCCAGGATCCCTCCGGTCGCGCTCACTCGGATCCTTGCATCTCCAGAAGGATGGTCTGATGAACCTTCCCCATTGGGGCCCTATGAGCGTCAAGCCTGGATTTTGACGAGTCATGCCTCTCATAGGATTTTTCTTGACGACCAGTCGGGTCTTACTCTTCGAGAGGTCTTTGCGAATCACGTTGGGGCAGTGAGTGAAGCCAACACAGTTCTCCCAGCGGTTCCAGCACTTCTTGACCATGAGTTTCAGGGCATCCCGTCCACGCAGGTCTTCTTGGCGGCTCCGCCCAGTCAGGTAGAGGTCTACTATTTTCTAGACCTGCGACCCACTCTGTCTTGCATCACTTTAGGTGTGGCACGTGGAGGTAGAGTCGATGTTGCAGAGGTCTGCATGCCACATAGACGTAGATGTCCTTTTGGCTTTTGCCTTCGGCTCTTTGGCGGCACTGCTCCGCCCGGTGCCGCTAATCATGTCAGGTTCGTGCACCCAGGGCAGGTACTCACAATGGAGTTCCACCCAATGAGATCCAGCACAGGCTTCGGCTTCCATTCTGTGGATTTCCCTCGTGGGGATGACGACGAGGAAGCCCACCATCCTGGTCCTGATTCTGATCCTGAGGAGGGGACTCAGGACTTACCAGCCCCCTCCTCTGTCTCTCAGGGCGATGCGGGGACTGGGAGTACAACTTCAGGACAGGTTACGGGATCAGTAGGGGAAATCCGGCAGCCTAGCACGGCCAGCTCATGCAATGGCAAGGTTGTATTGTGGAACAGCAGTTTTCTTGAGCAAGCCTTTCATGAAGGCACCTGCCGGGACACCTCTGCTCCTTGCCTCGTAGCTTTCGGCCAGGAGCGTGTTTCCATCACCGGAATGCTACGCCTTTGTTCCACACTCATTTCCCATGGTCTCCTATGGGCCTTTCGGAGTTGTTCTGCCGTTTGCAGTCCTTTCCCTGGTTGGACTTTCGATCATGTGCTGTAACTGGCTTTTGTGGTACAGCAGACATGTGGTGCCTTGGCTTTTTCCACGATGTCTTTCCTGAAGGCAGCCCAGGCTTCACCCCTGTCTCTCCGCAAATTACTAGCTGGCCCGGGGCATTGGCTTGCACTGTAGGCTGTCACATTGCCAGGATACAAGGGCCCATCCTTTGCTTTGTTCGATGCCTTGCCTGGATTTGTTCTCTCGTTGGCGTTGCCACCGCAATTTGGCTTCCATGCCTTGTGGGTCTGCTCGCTGTCGGTTTTCCTCGTTCTCATTTGTGCAAAGTTGCATTCGGCTTCTGCCTTTACAGCGCCGTCACCCTTGCAGAGGCGGCAGGGACATCTCCCCTCGAATCCTCTCTGGGGTGCTTGTCCTGCAGGACCGATGAATTCCACCGCGCAGCCATGCAAGCGATCCCCAGGCCTCTTGTTTCGTCACGACGAGGGCCCTTGCATATTCCAGCGGAGTTTCATCTGGACCCTGCTGGACTGCCTTCCGAGCTGGGGGACGTTCCCGAGCCCTCGCTTCTGATACCTGGTAGCGGTCATGAAGGATTGTTTACTTTGCTTGAAGAGTCTGTGGGTCAACCAGGGTCTGAGGCTTTTTACTTGGCATGTACGTTGCTTGAGACCCTGGAGGAGCACTTCCGTGCCTCTGCTCCCCCAAAGGGTCCTTCCTCCCAGTCATACCAGCCTCTCGACCATTGCTCTGGGAGGCAGGTCATCCGAATTGCCGATATGCTCGAGGGCTGCTCCCCTCCCTTATCCCACGCCCAGACTCAATTTTTTGATCTGACTAGACAATGCTGCCTGCTTCCGGGAGATCCTAAGGTCATGCAGGAATTTTTTGCCAAGGTTGCATTTGGCCAAATGCAAGGAGTTCCGCCGGGTCTTGACAAACCTCACCGCTTTGTTGCTTGGACTGCTGCTGGCAGCGTGGGAAGGTCACCGTCGCCAACAGAGGAGCTGGTTCTCACATCGGACGGCTCTTTCCGAGCGGACACCTTGGCAGCCGGCTGGGGCCTCGTTGTTAGCCTGCGTAACACTACGGGCAACTCGTGCCAGTTTGTAGGCTGTCTTTTTGGGTCTCTGGCCCCCTTCACCGGTTTTCTAGGGGGTTCCCCTACCCCGGACGCATATGATGCGGAAGCAGCTGGCCTCTTATGGTGTGCGGTCGTCTTAGCTCAGCTCCCATTCCATGGGCAAGCGGTTGTGCGAGCTGATAATATCTCCGCCCTATGGGGAGTGGAAGGTACAGCCCAAATGCGCAACTCACCGCTCTGTATAGCGGCGCGTTCTTTACACGCTGCTTTAGGGGTGGACTCCGCATGCCATATTCGATATGAGCATGTCCGAGGTCACTCTGGAGACTCGCTGGCTGCACTTGGGGCTGCAGGGCGTACATCTACTGCCCCCTTCCGCTTTCCAATCTCCGATTTTCTTTCTGATGGGGCTCTCGTAGCGCGTTGGATGCCGCACTTTTCCATGTCGCTTAAGAGGGCTGCCGAATTACCCCCTCTCAGCGACGGGGCCTTCTCGTGGGATTGCAAGCTAGGACCTCCTGGGCATCCCCCTGACTTCTCCATGCGCCCTTTCCTTCGTGCCTTCCCTGAGGTTTCGGAGCCCGATGAGTGCACAAGTTCAGACAGTTGGTCTGAAATTTGTGTAGCCACTTTCAATGTGCTTTCTTTGATGGATGGCAATAAAGAACGGAGTGCCGGCTTGCATGGGGTCTCGGGTCGACCCACGCTCTTGCAAGACTCCCTTGTCGAGGCAGGGGTGCACATGGTAGGTTTGCAAGAATGCCGCACCCCCCCTGGCACTATGCGGTGCGGGCGGTTCACTCGCTATTCGTCAGGATGTGATGAGAACTCCTGCTTTGGCAACGAGCTCTGGGTTTGTTCCCCTGGACCTTGTGACCCAGCCTCAGTTGTGGTTTTGCACACTTCGCCGACTGTCCTCATTGCAAATGCTCGTATTGGTTCGCATGGAGTGCATCTTTTTGTGGGACACGCCCCACATAGAGGCCATACTCTCGAGGTTAGGGCGGAATGGTGGCGAGCCGCTGCTCACCTTTGCCACACCTATTCCCGCAAGATGCCTTGGCTCTTCCTTTTGGACGGGAATTGTCGCCTAGGTAGTCGCGAAACTAGTGCAGTTGGCTCGCATCAGGCTGATGAGGAGGACGATGCCGGGACTATGCTTAATGACTTGCTGCTTGGGTTGGATCTCTGTATCCCATCTACCTTTGCCTCGTGCATGGTGGGGGATGGTGGCACCCTTTTCCAGAAAAGGAGTGGCACTCTAGACCGATCTGATTTCGTCTGTGCTCCTCGTACCTGGATGCTTGAGGAATGCCAGGCTTGGGTTGAGCCGGGTATTTCTGCTGGACATGCCTGCATGGACCACTTTGCAGCAGTCTTGCGGTGCAGTGTTCCCCCCTCGGGGCGAAGTGGACGTTCCAGCAGGGCGGTCCGCCTGGACGCCAAAGCTCTATGCGAGCCTGCTAATCGCTCTTGCACTGAGTCGATTATACACAATGCGCCCAGGCCTCAGTGGAGTACTGACGTTAGTGAGCACGCTGCTGTTGTCGTAGATTATCTCTATGACGCGCTAGCTCGACACTTCCCGCACAAGCAGCGTCGCCTCCGAGCCTCATTCTTTTCTGAAGAGACTAGTGCGCTTCACCGCGCGGTGGCCGCGCTTCGACATGCTGCCCGCGCAAGGACGCAGGCTCTGAGACATACCTACCTACGATGTGTCTGGCTGGCATGGCGGAGCCCTGTGGATACCTTCGATTCGCTTTTCGGCGGCCGGTGGCTGTGGGATCTCCGCACCCGGCTGGGCCATAATTGCCTCCTTCTGCGGCGGTTTGGACGGCGTCTCCGGGCCACATGCAAGTCGGATAAGGTAGCCCATCTGTCTTCCTTGTCAGATGAGGTAGCCCGTGCACCATATGCGGAGGTCCACCGTGCAGTTCAGCGGGTACTGCGCCCACGGAAGTACCGCAAGGCCTCATCTGACCCCCTCCCTAAGCTTTATAAGCCCGATGGTTCCCTGTGTCAAACTTCGCAAGAAGTAGCCGATACTTGGAGAGAGCATTTTCGCATTTTGGAAGGGGGCATCGCTGTTGGTGCCGGGGAGCTAGTGCGGAGGTGCCGGGCTTCTCAAGCTGCAGCTGATAGACCGGATGCCTTGGAGGCTGCTTGCATGCCCTCATGGCAAGCGCTTGAATCAGCATTCCGTCATTCCGCCCCACGGAAGGCGTCAGGCCCGGACCTGATTCCTCCTTCAATTTGTAGGGCCTTCAGTGTGTCGCTAACGGAGCTCTTCTGGCCCCTGCTCCTTAAGAGCATATGTTATGCGGCAGAGCCTGCTGGCATGAAGGGAGGAGTCATGTTCCACATTGACAAAGGCAAGCCAGGGTCCCGCAGTGAATGTTCGGCCCACCGTGGGATCTTGGCGCAGTCATGCTTGTCTAAGGTGTTCCACCGTTCACTCCGCGGTTTGGTGGTAGACCATTGGTCTAAGAACTCGATGCCACTCCAAGTTGGTGGAAAGACGGGTTGTAGTGCGGCCTTTGGCCACCTGTGCTCGCGATCTGTGCTTAGTTTCGCCCGTGCCTCTCACAAATCTGCAGGCCTTTTGTTCGTGGACCTACAGTCTGCTTACTATGCTGTCATCCGCGAGACAGTTTTGGGGGGCGTGGACCTACAGTCTGCTTACTATGCGGTCATCCGCGAGACAGTTTTGGGGGGCGGGCTTTCGGATCGCCCCATTGAGGTGGTCGCCGGTGCTTTGGGCCTTGATATCGAGGATCTCCAGCTGTTGAGGTTCTACGCCGAGCAAGAGCCTATATTGCATCAGCAGAATGCCAGTCCCCTTCTTGTGTCTCTGGCACGGGAACTGCACCGCCAGACCTGGTTTGTTCTTGCGGAGGACCCCAAGGCGACGATCATTGAAACCCAGCGTGGCACCCGTCCGCGGGGGACTCTAGCAGATGTCCTCTTCAACGTGCTATTCGCCAAGGTCCTTGCACGACGTCGGCACTCAGACTGTTCCCCCCTTTCTCCGTGTGTGCCATGGAATGGGGCGCGAACTCCCTTTCCGGATGCTGCTTTGCCTTGTGACCGTGAGGTTCGGGTCACAGATATTGCTTATGCTGATGATCTGTGTACCCCAGTCGTTTGCCAGAAAGCAGCTCAGCTCCGTGGTGCGTTGTCTTCTATGACGGCAGATACCATGGATGTCTTGACTCCACATGCTCTGCGACCTAATATGGGGCCCACGAAAACTGCAGCAGTGTTTGCCCCGATTGGGCCGCAGGCACGACAGGAGGCTTTTGTGCAGCTCAAGGGACGTGTTCCTATCTGGCCGGACAGCAAGGGCTTGCTCTGGTTGGACCTGGTTCCTAGGTATAGGCATCTAGGCTCTCTTGTTGCCTACGACGGTCGTTTGGGTCCCGAAATTCGCCACCGTCTTGCCTTGGCTGCATCTGCATTCCGAGAAGGAAAGAGGAAATTGTTCGCGTGCAAAGCGATACCACTGCAGAAACGCGCAACGCTCTTCCGTACGCATGTGCTGTCGGTCCTCATGTCGGGGGCCGGAACATGGCCGATGCTTGCTAAAGGCGAATGGCAGTCCTTGAAGGGTGGAGTCCTGGGTTTCTACAGACAGTTGTTGTGTCTTAGGGCTACAGGGGATTGGCATCACACTGAGGCGCAGCTTTATTCTCAGGTAGGTTTGCCCTCTGCTGAGGCTCTCCTTCATGGTGAGCGTTTGCGCCTCTTGGGTCAGCTGGTCTGCAGCGCACCAGACCATGTCTGGGCACTTGTGGCTTGGAATCAGCCCTTTCAGGCTGGGCTTCGGGCTGCATGTGATTGGTTGCACTCACAAGTTGGTGCCGCTGTCGTCCCTGGAACCGTCGTCGACAACTGGCAAGGTTGGTCTGCTTTCATCCTTGCTCGCCCCGGCCACTGGAAGGGCCTGATTCGACGGGCAGAGGGTTATGACATTGAGCGTCATCACCTACCGGCCACTCTCGACCGCGCTATTCGCGCTTCCTGGGAGCCTGTTGTACCTCCTCCAGCCTCCCCCATGGCAGACATGGAGCATGCGTGTCTTCTCTGTGGATTTGCCTTCTGCACGCGGCAGCAGTGGGGTGCGCATGCACAGCGCAAACACGGCTACCGTAACACAGCGACAAAGCTTGCAGTTGGTCGCCAGTGCGGCTCTTGCGGAACGCTTTTTGCGTCCCAGGTCCGACTCAGGAATCATTTGCTTGCTTCGGCGAAATGTCGCCATTTCCTGGAGGCTTTACCGGTTAGCCAGCGTCCTGCTGTTGTTAGGGGAGAGGGACATGCCCAAGCACCTTCTGTTAAGGTTGCTGCTCAGGCTCCTTCCCTGCCTGAGCAGACTGACCTCTGTCTTGATTTGTTAGCTGCCTTGGAGCGACTCGAGTCGGCTGATGACCAAGAGGTGTACGACCTGGTTGCCTCTTTTGTGGCGCCGCTTCCTGATCTTCGGCGTACACTGCAGACTTGGGTTGACTCGTTGCCTGTTGGTGCCCTTCGGTCTGCGGCCGAGGATGTTCTCCTCGTGTTGAAGCCTGATTTGCTGTGTTCACAGATTTGTGGCAAGGTCTCAGAGGATCAGGTAGGCAGGAGCTTTGACCCCCGTGTGGTACGGCCAGCATACTGTCCTCGTAGTTCGGCGCATCCGGTGCTCTACATGGGGAGCTGCGATCGCAACTGGCTTGAGCGCTGGCATCTTCTGCACATGCCTACCGAACGATTGGATTTCGATGCCGATGATCGCTCGTTTGGGCGCTGCTCTGGCCTTTGCCTTGCCTTTCCGCCCCCGCCGCAGCAGGAGAGGTCGTTCCTCCATCCGGGTCCTTTGCCGCTACGGGCTCTGCGACTAGTCAATGCTTGGACTTCCCGACTCCTGTCCATCTTGCCTTCTGCCCTCCGGGTTGCAGCGCAGGGTATTCCTGTCCTCCTTCGCACGTGAGCAGCTTTTGCCTGTTTCGGCTTGGCTGCTTCGCACGCCAGCGGAGTTTGAGGATGGGGATTGTTTCAACTGTTTCACCACCGAATTCATTGCCACAGGCACGTCGTTCTGACTTTTCGCCTCCCGAAGCAAAATATATGTATATATATATGTATGTATGTATGTATGTATGTATGTATGTATGTATGTATGTATGTATGTATATAGACACACACACACACACCCGACACCGTCAACCCGCACACTCTGGATCCCTCATGATAGTGTGGATGGGAATCTCCGAGCTCACGACAGATAGGTACCATGAAGAGAAGAGTCATTTTCGAGCCGGAGCCTTCTTCGCACGAAGTTATCCGAAGATAGAAAACGTAACCAATGATCATGAGCTCTAGCACTTCGCAGAAAAGTCGGGGCAACAGGTGGAAGCGTGAAGCCCTGCCAGGGCCCCCCTTATCCGAGGCCTTATGGTCTTCAACCCAAAGCAGATGGCAGTTGGGGGTACGCAGTTAAGCAAAAGTTGAACTCCTGGAGGATCTGTGCTACTACTGCTCGTCTGGAGGCCGCAGTCCACCTATCCTTTCGTACTTTAGAGGTTTAGGGTTTAGAGCTTTAAGAGTTTAGGGGTTTGGGGGTTTAGGGTTTGGGGTGTTAAGTGTAACAAAGAATCTAGAGCTCTCTTGGACTCACCACCAGGCTCTAAACCCTAAGCCCTAAATTTAAACCCTAGGCCCTAAACCCTAGGCCCTAAACCCTAAACCCTAGGCCCTAAACCCTAGGCCCTCAACCCTAACCCTAGACCCCCGAGGTCCTAAACCCTAAACCCCAAACCGTGGGACTTTTGTTTCCCCCCTCTCCTGGCAGTCGACTCTCCCCCTGGCGTTCTGTGGGAGGCGTCAGCTCTAGCGGCTACTGCGTCTGCGTTGATGCGACGAGGTTTTGCATTCTTAGGGTTTAGGATTTAGGGTTTATGGTTGAAAGCTCGATTTCGTGAAGTTGTAACATCTGAAGTCACGGTGGCAGACCCGAAAAGACAAGACTTTCGTCGACGTGAACCTCGAGCAGCCCAGGCACACACTCCGGAAACCTGACATATCCTGAGGCCCCTAAGTAGTTCCTTATTATGGTTTATATTCTTTAGGGTTTAGGGTTTAGGGTATTTAGAATCCTATAAGGTAATCCCCAAAAGGAACTACTTAGGGGCTTATGGGTAGGGCCAACAACAGCGCTTTGCAGTATAATTGAAATAACAGGATCAAGACACTACTGAGCATCCAAACGTATCGAAGCTACAGAATGAAGTCCAATGAAACTCATGAGCCATCCGGCAATCACACAAACGGCCGCAAAGCTTTTTCCAATCCTGAGCCTAAAAGCTCCAGCCGCCAGCCGTCAAACACGGATCGCAAGCCGGGCAGGTCCGAGCACAAGCCCCTAACAACTGTAATCCTGATAATCAGCGATGCTGGTGCCCAAGTTGTCGCTGTTGTGAGTATTGATAATCAGCGATGCTTGTGCCCCAGTTGTTGCTGTTGTGATTCCTGCTTCTACTACTTTCTGCCATGACCACAAAACCCAAATTCGCAGAGTCCTATATAACCCCTTATAGCCTGAAACCCTGAACCCTTCTGTAACCTCAATTGCCCTAGACCCTAAACCCTAAAGGCCCTAAATCCTGAACTCTACACGGCAGCCACAGCTGGGGCCTCGCCATAGGACAACTCGGTCACCTCAGAGACACCTTGCCAGGGAGACTTCTTCGTGGTTAGGGCTGAGGGCGGACGGAGGGGTTTTCCTTTATGTTTATTACCCCTTTCAGTGTCGCGCGCAGCAGCCTGGGTTCAGGGTTTAGGTTTCAGGGTTTAGGGTAATGGAGAGTCGTGGTCGTGGCCATCCGGGCTTTTTTCTGCACGGGTTTAGGGGCTTCGGGTCTGGGGCTGTAGGGTGTTCGGGGGTTTCCTTGGGTCGGGGTCCGGCTTTATGGTTGCACACGACAGGTTACTTCACATCCACCCTGCGATGATGCCTGCAGGCATCAGGAACGAGTTACAGGATTGTCCGGACTGTTAAAACCCACCACCCCGTAATCCCCTCAAGCCCTAGCATGGAACGGCTTGAAGCGTTGACGGCCCTGGGTGGGGCGATAGGTGCTTGATCACACGGACCAAGGCCGGCTTGCCCACTCTTCAAATCTGTGGTCGAACAGTTTAGCAGCTGCAAGAAGATCAGGCAACAACTGTCATTCAAGCCACATGTACACATCATCCGAGCGTCCTCGCCAACCAGTTAAGCCACCATACAGCTCATGGAGCCCTACACTGATCTCGACTCTCTTCCTGATGACGCGTTGGGATGCCGGCATAATGCAACACAAGTCTTGTCACGAAAAGACATACAGATTTAAAGCCCATGCTACTGATCAAGGAACATTAGTTCAGCCTTTTCGGGGGGCTCCCTGCTCTACGGCTAGAGCCGACAAGAATGGAACTCATTCGCGCATGCCTGGAGGCAAAGGTGAGCAGCATTCATCCACACAACCTGCCGGCGAAGGTCTTGGACGTCATAAAACAGATCATACACAACGTGCTAGACCCGAAACATAAACACCAAAACACTACATAAACCGCAAAGCTTTAAATTTTCTAGGCACTAAGCTCAAAACCCTAACTCTAAGCTGTAAACCCCGAACCGTAAAGAAAGGCCCCAAAAATTGAAACCCTAAAAAATGCTAAACCCTAAACTTGAAACCCCCGGCATTTGAGTACTAGATAACTTAAGCCGCGTTCGGGAGCGCTCCAGAGGCGTAGGCACTCAGATCTCAGTATCCCTTAACTAACTAAGGACATATACCTTAATTCAAACATAGGGTATCTCGTAATTAAGGAAATATACCTTAATGAAGACATAGGAAGGTCCCGGACGTGACTTATGAGGTATATTCCCTACCTAGACGGATTTTGGAAGATCTGGGTATAGGCCTGATACCCTAAACCCTAAACGCCGTGGCATCTCCGGGAACCCGTCTCCCCAGCCTTTGGAAGAGAAGCTCTGAACCATCGAAGGCAGCGCTCCTGTTCTCGGATATCGATACCCGTAGGCTCCATCGTAGTGCCCTTTTTGAGGTTTATATTTAGGATCCTATAAGGCAAACCCAAAAAGGAACTACTTTGGAGCCTATGGGTAACAGTAAGAATGAAGCTTTCGGGGTGGGGGCGGGGTTGGGGGGGGTTAGAGATAATAAGGAGCCCAAGGTAGGTGCTGGTAATACTTCAGGCTTCCATATTACCTCCGTGGCACCCGGGTTTCGCATCGCGAACCTTACGTAGGAATCACTTTTTCTGAATGTTCTTCCGAGTTTCGTTTTCAGGAGGTTCAGTGGCTTAGGATTCCTACCCCGGACATGTCTTTGTGGGCCAGCATCCTTGGGTATTTTTTCAAAAGTTTGCAGAATGTCAAACCCTAAACCGACCCTGAACTGCTGAAAGGCGTCTAAAACAACAACATACACGACACAAAACAAACTACACAACATGCACATGCACGATCAATAAGCGCAATCACCCACAGGATACATCAATCTGCTATATGTATGTATGTATGCATGCATGTGCGTATACATGTATGTATACGCACACATATACATATCACTTACATATGTTGTAAATATGTGTGTCCGCTTATTTGTCAATCATAAACTCGTACACATGCATATACAGATATCATACATATATATATATACATGCATACACACGAGAACAGATATATATATATATATGTATGTATACATGTATACTTGTATATATATAGTACACAGAACCGTCCCTTCCCCGGCACTCCGAAAGGTGGCGGGGGTGGAGGCGGTGGGGGCGTCGCCGGCGGCTCCGGAGCTCCGCCATCCGAGGCAGAGGTGCTGATGGCCTATCGGGCGAGGCTTTTGGGGGTTTAGGGTTTAGGGTTCAGGGTTTAGGGTTTAGGCTTTTGGGGTTTAGGGTGTGTGTGTGTGGGGGAGGGGGGGGGGGTTGAGAGTTCTGGTTTAGGGATCTAGGGTTTAAGGCTAGGGGTTTATGTGGGGTCTAGAGTTTAGAGTTTACTTGGCCTTTGTGTTTCGGTCTCCTTGCCCTCTGCAAGGGTCCAGGGTTTCAGACTTGATGTCTATATGCTGGTATTTTATGCTTCGTTTGTTTAAGCGCCCTCCTCCCGAGCTTTTCCAACATTTCAGGACTTTAGAAACGATTGATTCGTGGTTGGGGGTCGCCTTGCAACTTTTGTGTCTATCTCCTGACATTCATAATAGCTCCTTAAGTACCTGCCCTCAGGGGTGGCCTTTGTGCCACACTGCGTTTAGGAACCCTCGGAATGGTGCTGTTAGTCAGCCACATAACAATAATAGTAGTGATAATAATAATAACAATAAAAACAAATAATAGTACCAAGAATAATAAAATGTTAGTAGTAGCAAACAATAACAATAGCAATCGTCATAATCACATAACCATAGTAATGATAATCATAACAAGCATAGCAATAATCGTAATAATAGTACTACTAGTAAAACTAGTAATAATGGGATCCATCAACATCATCACCATACGCTCATCCATGTTCAGGATCTTTCGTGTGTCTAGCTTGCAGGGCTATCAGGCTTGCATGGGGCTTTCCGGGTTTTGTTTGATATGCTGGATTTAGCACTGGTTTCAGGATCTGAGAGTTGTGTAGGTTTGCTTGATGCTTTCGGGCTGTCACGGCTTTGGGTCTCAAGTTTAAGGCTTGGGAACTAGGTTTCTGTACGGTTTAGGTCAGGAGGTTCTGGGTCGCACTATAGGTTTCCGGGATTGGGGATTTTGGGGCGCAGGGCTGGAGGTGAAGGGTTTGGAGTTCCGACTTGAATTTGATGCACTGCTAAAGTCAACTGCACAAGCCCTACCATACAGCTCCATCGCCTATAATGCCATGCGCAAATACTTGAAAACAACCTCTATAAAAAGCTTTCTGAAGCCCTGTAG